AAAAAAGTTTGTGCAGAGAGACATTTTGATCAAAGATTCTAATTTCCTCTGCAGAAATTAGAATCTTTGCAGCTGCAGTAATGCTGTTGCAGCTGCAGTAACACTACATAACCCTAAATGACATTGTTTGTTTTTCTAATATAACAACCCAAATTGCCTCCTCTTGTGACTAATTAAGCCTGCTTATTATTTCCTGTTGGGTGGGGCCTGGCAGTTGTGTTTATGTATTTTTAAAATTTTTTAATTGCTGATGTTAAAATTTTGAAGTATTTTCAATCATGAGCAGATGCATTAGTTGACAACAGTATAAAAACTACAGAATAGATGCATTACTTGACAACAGTATAAAAACTACAGAATATTTTGAAAATTAAATCAATCACAAGTACTTGAGATTTCACAAGTGTGGTGCTCTAAATCAGAATTGCTGGGTGCATAATTATTTTATGAAATCTAGAACCAAATTTATTACAGCATGTAACAACTAAATCTGAAGAAAAAAAAAATCATAGCATAAGAAAATTTCCTTGGCAAAGAGTAACTGGACTACCTAAAACATATTATATAAACTATCTTTGCAAACAGTATTTTTGTTTTATTCCTTTCCCAAGTATCAAAGTAGTGAACTAATATGTTAAGAAGAAATACTAAAATGTCATAAACATACAAACTGTTTTTCCATTATATTGTTGGAATAAGTTAGAATGTTTTTGTTAAAACACATTCAAAGCAACTTAAACCAAAGGAATAAACAGTATTCAAATATATGGCAAACGTATTCTGGTACATGTATAATGCTAAGTAGATGTACAAATACTGAGGTTCAACACAGAAAAACACCTGTAGTAACTACATTGCATTTCAGCCATATGGCTGCTAATGTTACTTGAACTTCTGAATATGATGTTAAAATGCTGTTACTTTTTCCCCAGATTAAGATCAATCACTGAATGTTCTTTGTAAATAGCTCTAGCTCATATAAAAGCTGTTCATCAAAGTCAAATTTTAACTCAAGAAGCCACACACACACCCATTTCATAAGCCTGAAGTGTAATGAATCATTAATATTAGGCTGCAAACCTTTCCTTTTTTTTTTTTTTTTTTTTTTTTTCCTTTTGGCAGGGGTAGAGGGGGCAAGGAAAGAAGAGTGTTTCTGAGAAGCCAAGCAACATGGAACTCCCAGCTGCAGAAGTTCAGCTCACAGAAGGTTTGCTGTGTCACCAGCTACAGTCACACAGGCTCAGGGCTCCTACTGAAGACACAGCCTCACACTTCATGAACAGAAAATAGCCAGGGCTGTTACCACTGCAGGCACAAAGGTGAACTAAGGGATTCTCAGTGTCCTTTGGGTTCTGAACAGCCACTGAAGTCACAACGTGACAGACTCAATTGCTTAAATAGCACCAGTAAGAGAAACCAAACAGGTAGAGCCGAGTCCAGGATCATCACAGTCATAGCCAGTTTTCAAATCTACAGATGCATAGTGGCTAACTAAGGTTTAATTTTTTGCTTTTTCCAAAGAAATTGTAAAACTCCTGCAGTCTCAGTGTTGTACAGTAACCTATGGCACAACAAAACTCACTCGGACTAAACTAATAAGACCAAAAAACCCACCTGGATTCTTTTGTTTATACTTAGTGTGCTAAAATGTGTCCGTGTTTAGGCAGATAGAAACGTGACCTCTCAAAGAAAACAAAAAAATAAAGCCAACCCAAGCAAAAAACCTCCAAACAAACCCAGACCACACAACTCAGACCTACTTTGCTCTTGACCTGTCGACAGTTTGCCTGGAGGACACAATGAAACATGGGGGTATTTCAGTTGAATATTTTAAATGAAGGGAAAAATAAATGTTTATCTGTCTCTCACTGCTTTTCAAAAGAACACAGAAGTTGAAAGGGAGAAATAATGCTTGGAATAGTAGTAGAAGCTTCCTCCCTGCACATGATCTGTCAGCTCCACCTAAATGCTAAACAAAGGATTTTACCTTGAGACCATAATAACTTGAAACATCTTTTAAGGCCTTACTTTTGAAACTGTCAACACTGCCTCATCAACATACATGTTTAAATGAAAGCACTGAAGAAGATTCACTGAATTATTTCTATGCTCAAAGTTATATGCAAACAGTGCCTGACTGACCTAAGGGCACAGTTAATGACAACCATAATTATGATCTTATCAACACAGAACTTCATAAAAGGTTCACAGCTTATTTTAAAGGACATCAAATTACAACTTCCACTTCTAAAATACCTCTGTCAGAGCTAAAAGTGACCAAAACCAGGAATTGCCCTTTTCATTACCTGCCTGAACCATTCATTATCTTCTCTTTGTTTTATAATAGCTGTGTTATTTTGTCAGAGAACCAAAAGAAAGCTATCAGTACGTTGAAAGAAAGGATTTTTAACTAACTGTAGAGCTTTCATTAGTTGCTTACATAAACAAGTAATTTTATTTATGACTGATACTCTTGTACTTAGAGTTGGCAAACACAGCAGTGAAAGGTGAAAGTATTTCAGCAAGTAGTTTGGAGCGATCTGTGAAAACACAGTAGAATTAATCAGCATCTCTGAGGACCACAGGTGGATTTTCTCATCACTAGCTATACCAAAAAACCAACAGTAAGCTAGTAAAAGATACATTTTCTCTCGCTGTATCTTTGCAACTTCAAAAATGAAATCTACTTTGCATTACAAGCACCTCTGATAGTAAAGACTCACAGGCCTTCAAACTTAGTTCCCATCTTTCCAGAGTCAGCAATATGCACAATAATATGAATTCCTAACAGAACATATATCTTTGCATGTATTGGTTGCATGTACTCATGAGAAAGTGGCATGGGAAGGTTTTGGAAAAGGCAGCAATGAAAAGGAACCTCAAAAATCTATTAATTAGCAAATTTGCATCAATGATATTTATTTGCAGGTATCTATTATTGAAGTCACATAATGCCACCTCAAGGAAAAAAAGTAAACTAAATTTATTATTGAATTTTTAGAAGTAAAATTTTAAAGAAAACTTACATTTATTGTTTAAATTAATTTTCAAAAGTAAAATACGTAGTAACAGAGAAGTAACCAGCACTGCTATTTTTGAACAAATGAAGCAGGATATCATCAAACGTGCACATAAATGAAACACCAGTGTCTGCTTTCGACCCTGTCTCCCTCTTACTCCTTTTCTCTGTCCCAACACTTTTATCCAGCAGACTTTTCTGATTTCAAAATAAATACTACCAAACCACTACTGAGGTGTTGCCGGAACAAAGTGAATACAGATAGTTAATTTATCTGTTACAAACCTGTTTTTTAAAAACACACGACACAATGCAAAGTGATATAAAGCTGCTCTGTTTTATAATTTTAACTCAAAATGTATTCATTTCTTGCACGAGACAGTAACTACATTTTTTGATGACTCTACCACTGACTGACATTTCTTTCTTTATAAAGGGGACAAAGGGTGGAAAGAAAGCTTTTTCCCTTCTGTTTTGTATTTCAAATTAAGTTCTTTAACATGTCTTGCATAGATTTCAGCACTGAGGTTCCCCGAAATCTCCATGCACTGTGGCACATCCTGACAATAGTATTTCTGCGTAACTGTTAGTTAAATTCTCAGGCCAGGGAAAATTACGGAACAGAGAATCTGTTTCTGGATGGTTACAGACTACGTTTTTCTCTTTCATTTTCTCATAAACTGTAGCCATTTCTGTAGATTACAAAACATTGCTGACAAGATGCTATCTTAGAATGACGTCTTGGTTAACGCTTTCCTAGAACGGGCAGCTACTTTCTTTCATGAAAGAACACAAGTGCTTTGACTGAAATACTATTTCAAAAGTTGATACTACACAGTCCACAGCAGAGAGACTCCAGATGTCAATAAAATCGAAGTGCTCTATTTTCAGCCCTGTTCTGTGAGCTTGACAGTGCTGGTGGTAACACCCTGCAGCATGTAAGGCACAAGGCAATACGGCAAAGAATTCATCCACTTTTCTCTGTGAACAGAGTAAGTGAAAAGAGGACTTCTGGAGCACGAAACATGCCAAATATGATCATCATTTTAGAACTATTTTAAAATATCTTGATAACAAATAATATGTATTTCCTTTAAAACATTATTCTTAAGCGAAGATTTTGAGCATTTTAAGACAGGAAGTTGAAATGCAGCAGATGATCCCTTGCCTCCAAAGTCTTATTCCCCAAATGCTCACAGGCACTGAGATTTACTTATTTTGAAAATACGCAGCAGTACACATGATGATAACGGCCCAAGAGCACATACCTCATGTCACAGAAACAATACTCCGATTCACATTCACGTAAAATAAGTCAGCAGCTCTCCTTCACCAAAGCAGAAAGCACCAAGAGATGAAAAAATAATTGCGATGATGAGAAGTTCGATATTCTTGGGTTTCAAGGTCAAATGTAACTGAGTAATCACTGCAATAACACTCCCGGTCGCGACGAGAACTTTTGGGTTTCACCACTTGCAACTACGTTACGTTTAAAAACCTCACTATTTCGTACCTCCTAAATCAGTCTGCGGCACTCTGGGGCAGCAGCCAAGACCAGCTCACCAGAGCTGCCAGAACCAGCCCACGTTTCCGTGGTGCCCACCTGCACTCCTGAGCCCGGCCGGCGACTGTGCCCCGGCCGCGTCCCAGGCTCAGCGCGTCCGTGTGTCACCTTCGAAACCAAAAGCGACAAAAGCAGCGCCTCCTTTGCCTACGAGCACCCGCTACGCGAGCGGCAGAAGCTGGGCTTGCAAGTTTTTTTCACTTTGCTGTCACGGGCACCCCTTCCCTCGCCAGGAAGAGCCCGGTAACCCAGCAGCAGCAGCAAAGCCGGCATCCCGCCGCCTCCCCGGGCTGGCTGCAGGCGAGAGCCGCGCAATCCCTGCCCCAGCCCAGCGGAATGCCCGCTCCCGCCGGCGAGGACGCGGAGACAGGGGAGAAGGAAGGCAGCGAGTGCGGGCCGGGGCCGCCCGGGGCTCACCGGAGCAGAGCTGGCGGCGCCTCCTCCTCGTCGTGCTGTGCCGCCGGCGGTCCCTCAGCGCCGCGCCATGTAACCCGGCGTGCCGCCGCCCGGCTCCGCGCGGAGTCCCCCCTCCTTTCCGCCCGCCCCACCGGCGAGGGCGCCCGCCCGGCACCGGCCTGCGCAGCCTCCGCCCCTGCCGCCGGCCCGCCGCACTTCCTGCTGGAAATTCCCGCTGACGCTCCGGCAGCGCGGAGGGCCGCGCGGGCGGGGCGGGAGGAGGCGCGGCCGCGGCAGGGAAGGGGCCGGGGCGCGCTTGTACCGAGCCGCCCGCTGGCCACGAGGTCCCCGAGCCGGGGACGGGCTCACCGCCCGGGTGAAACCGCGTAAACACGCGGGTCCTTTCATCCCAGGGCAGTTACGCCGCCGCAAGAATCATCCCGTCCTTGCCCACGCTCCTTGGACCACGGCGGAATTCGCGACATCTCTGTGGATACGGGCCCGACCCGGTGGCTGCCGAAGTTTTTTTGACCTCTAGATATAAAGTTTGGAAGGCGAGAGAGAGACTCTGCATGGGGTGAATTTAACCCCCCTGCCGCAGCGCCTGGCTGCTAGCTGGCTTTCCCAGGCAGTTCATTAAAGGAAATTTTCCGACTCTTGCCGCCCGATGCCTGCCGCCGCTGGGCAGGGAGTACGGGCTGCACGGCACCATTTGTGTGTAGGCTTACACAGTTTCTGACAGAGCAGGCTCCCAGGTAACTTGGCTTCTGTTGAACAGTGCCAACCATCAATAATGTGATTTTAATACCAGAATCCAGGTTTGCAGCATGGTAATCAAGTCTCCCAGACACATTTAACCAAGGCTGAAGCAAGGCAGCTAGAGCCACGTTTAATTGGCACAAATACTATGTAAAACAAGTTCAAATATTTTTATGCTAAATCTTAAAACGTCTGGTTTGCTAAGGGTGACGAGTGTCTCAAATGAGCATCCAGCATAGCTCTCTGAATGTGTGTTTGTGCAGAAAGTCAGCAGCACGCCTCTGCGGAGTTTTGTTATGCTAAGGCCACATAACATGGGGCTTCATGAATGAGATTAACAAAAATCATAGCTTAAAATAAGAATTTAAAACCTCAAACATATAAAGGAACCAAGGAATATGACTGTTGCTTTTTTTGTGTTGAAGCAAGTAATTGTAACCTAGAGCAAAAATATGTTCAAAAGGAAGAGAGGCCAATCATAAGCCACCTGTTGATTGGAACAAAATGAAAGGGGTATTTTTACCAGAAAGGGAGTAGATTCAGATGTTACATTTTGTGTCACATCTCTGTGTTGGAGCAGAGAGACACTATTTAAAATGAGAGCTGAGAATGCAAAAGAGAGCTCGGAGATGAAAGGGATTTTCTTTGCTGTCTTGAAAAATGACATTTTCTACATGTTAGACATAAATATATAGGAAGAGGGAGTAATTTCCTTTTTTTGGATTGCCACTCATGCTCTGTGATGCAATTCTAACAATGCAGTCCCCCATTCTCTTCCCAGTACATACTGGGAGCTGAGAATGACTCAGCATTTCCGAGTAAAACATGTTTTCCTTATTATATGGGGATATTCAAGACCAATATTATTTTTTTTTTAATGGAAGAAAATGCATTGAATTAATAGGAAAGAATTGTGAGGAAAGAATTGTGTCCCAAAGCCCTTGAAGGAGGAAGTCTAGATGGATTTTAAATACAAAGATGTTTCAAAATAAGATTCGTTTGGAAGGAAAGGTGCCATGTCATACCTAATCAAAGGTGTGCTCACAGGGCAAAACATGTATGAACAAGTACCAGGAAATCAGACAAGGTGGATAAATTCCAAAACTTAAGGAGACTTACCTGGTGGATTTATTTTAAAAGGACATGCATTTAAGTACTCAGGCTTAGCTTTCCCTGTGAAATCTTAAGCAGCTTCCACAAAAATCCACAAAAATAAAATCCTCTTCTCAATTATATTTAAAGCATAAATTTGCCTTTTTTAGAGCTTAATACCATAGCTGAAGTGTTATTTCTACTGACACCCACAGTAGTGCCAGGCTGTAAGCCCACACTTTGGTAAAATTATCTTCACAGAACACTCTAGATAAATGTACTGCTTTATAGCCCAGGATTCCCACTTGAAGAGCCAAATAATTCTGCTCCAACCACTGAGGAAATCGGGCAGATAATACAGGCTCAGTGGTTCGCAGTGATGAAGTGCTGCCTGTTTCCTGAATAACACTGGTTTCCACTATTACCATCAAGTTATTTCAGTAGCTGGACAATCTCAGCCCAGAGATGAGGAGCAGGTGATCACACCTGAACCCAAAGGAGCAAATGCCTGCTGTTGAGCTGTTGAACCACTGTGAAATGGTTGCAGCCATGTCTCTGGCGGCTGGGCAGGTGCACTGAAGGAAAGGCTTTCTAGCTGTACGCTTAACCAGGCTGTTTCACCTCAGTCAGGTGGGGGACATTTAAGTTTCCTGATATGCAGATGTAATTTAGAAGCTGAGCCTCTTCTCTGCTTGGTTTGCTCTGGGACTCCAGATATACAGATCTCTTTCCAAGGTCAGAAATCTTTGGCCTCAGTATTTTTTAATCATGTAACTAATGATAGATAAACATCTAAGACAAGCAGAGATTTTTTAAAATAATCAGTCTTTAATTGATATGTCTGGATTGGAAAAACTCATGAAAGTTTCTTACATTATTTGTCTTCTGTTTCTGACGCATGTATTGGAATCAGGATAGGCTCTTTTCATTCCTTTTGACGTAGTAGGTTTGAGGCTAAAGCAGGAAAAGGTAAAGGAAAGTTTAAAATAGCTACTGAGAGACACTTCCTTTTAAAGCTTTCAACTGCCCATCTTCATTGAGCTACTATGCCATACTATCCAAATCTATTTCTGGTCAATCCATTATTTCTTTCTCATCCAGATAATCCAGAACTGCTAACTTAAAAACTGATTTGCCTTACATAGTAGCCAATGATTATCTTAACACACTTCAGTCTCGTAGAAGTTGTCAGTGTTTAGCCAATATTTGCTGTTGGCATTGCCATTGTCTCCTGTAGCTTGAATCCACCACTATCACAGGAAGAAAATATGTTAAAAAAATAAAAAAAAAGTTGTATTTTAAAGATGGTGTCATCTTTCTGAGACTATATATGAAGACCTAATGAAGTTGACAATAGAAACTATATTTGAAAAAAATATTCTAAATAGCCAATGTACATTTGCAAAGCCAACCATTTGAACTGCAGCTAGCAGGGTGTAGAGTTTAATGGTGCTGCTGAATCCCTATGTTGCAGCATTCATGAGAAGTACTTTGTATCATCTCTGTCATTTTTGTTGGATGTTGAACTGGCTGCAATTCATCACATACTTCATCAGAGCAACACCCTGCAAGGCTCTGAACAGTGTGGTGGCTCCTGTAATTACATAGGCCACATCCCAAATGTACCTCTTACTTGCTTCCTCCAGAGCCACAAATCAGACATGGGATCTCATATTAACCCCACTGTAGTTTAGGCATGTATCTCTGCTGAAAGACTAAATTTCTGATGTTTTGGGTAAGACTGCCAGAGCTGAAGGCAGGAGTTTTCAGTAGTGAATAACTACTGGGGGACAGGTACTGGGGAGTTAGTAGACTTAAATAAGAGAACCATGAAGCTGTAGATATGGCTGATGGGTATAATTATCAGAGAAAAGGGAGCCTTTGGAGAGAGCTAGAAGTAAACAAGAAAGGGAACACTGCTCAACATTTACTTACAACTGTCATACATGATAGGGTATCACTTCCTAAAGGACATTGAAAGAGCCAAGTAGAGAAGGCAATTTGATATATATAATTTTTGGAATGGTTAGCCTAGCCTTCCCTTAATTTGTCTGTGTAATGCTATGCCTTCTTCCTTCTTTTCTTTTCCACTGGCAGATGATTACTCCAAAAGTGGTGGTTTATAGATTCTCTGTGAACTTGCTGCAAGGTAGCTGCTCTCAATGGAGCTACCCAGACCACTGTGAGAAGTTGTGAGCTGACCAGTTCATCAGAGCATTGAAGCTGCTTCATGCAGAACATACATTCTCTTCCAAAAGTGTGGCCTAGGCTGGTCCTACTTGGCAGCCCAGGTTTAGTGGCCGAGCAGAATAACACTGTACAAGAGTATGTGCATGTATTGACAGAATAGAAATGGTTGTGTTTGTAGAAACCATTCAGAGAACCATTAGTGTAGCACTGTAGCAATGTGGAGTTCATGCAGATTAGAGCCCAAAGCAAACTGCTCCAGCAAGTGCTGTTACAGTCAGGAGCTGTGCTGTCTGGTAATAAATCTAATGAACTGCCAGTCAGGTCTTCAGAATCTGGGCCTAATTCAGATTGTGAGTGATTCACTTATTGCCACTCAGCTATACAACACCTTGACCAGCCACTGAAGTAGAGGGATGGGTTTCTGCCATTTGAGTTCACTGGCAGCAGGTCTTACCAGTCCACTGCATGCACTCCCTTCTCTTCCCACCTCCCCATGTTATGATTAATATCCTGTGCTCTAGTCATTATTTAATATATGAGATGATTGGGTTCTCTTCATAGTATTTTGCATATCTGAATGATACATACTTTTGACTTCTATCTGATTACATCCATCAGAACCTAGTTCAGGTGCCCAGTTGTTTTCCCAAGGGACATATGTTCTTCTCATTACACAACTGTGGCTTTAGTTCTTCAGCAGTGTTTCACCCAGTTAGCTAATGCAAACAAAAGCAGCTGTTTGTTGTCATTATCACTTTCTTTTGTCACTTTCATGAAATACATGCTCAGTTCAATCTATGAGGTCACTTTGGGTCAGGTGTACTGAGTAGGACCGATGTTAACACAGTATAGAAAGTTAAATTTAGCTAACTTGATTTATATTGCTGCTGTTTTATTGCTGCAGTGCAAGGAAAATTCCAGATAGCTAAGCATTGTACAAATATATAGGGAAGGGGTTTCTTCTGCCATAGGAATTTCAACATCTAAATATATGTAATGGAAAACAGATTATGAAAACTGAAAGTGACATTCACTACTGTTTGAACTCATGCAGTGATTAATTTAAGTCTTCTACTCAATTGTTGGTAGAACTAAGTTATGATTTCCCAAGCTGTTTCTGTTTCAAGTTTTAAGCTTTTACAGCAAC